AAAGATGGACTGTGGACAGATGTTCCCCCAGTTCCAGGCTCTCTCATCATTAACGTAGGAGACATGGTAGAGATCTGGACAAATGGGGCTTTTAAGGCCCCTCCCCACAGGGTCAAACTGTCAGCAACTAAGCATAGGCTTTCAGTTGCAATGTTTTATGAGCCAGGGTTTGAGAGTGTTATCTCACCCATTCCTGTTGACAAAGCTCTAATTCCTTTAGAAAAATTTATGACAAAGCCCTCTTTGGCGTTTCCAATACGCTATGGTGATTACGTTCTGAGTAAATATTGCAGCATCTTACCAGAGAATAAGCCATAACATAAAATATGTAACACATGTAAAGATACAGTTCTAGATAATTTGTTGCTTTTTATAAGAATAACTCATGATTTATGAAGTAAATTATAGGATTATTAATGCACTCTGTTGCCAAGTATTGTAGCTACCCCAAGGAACTGCGCTGGTATTGTTGGTAGTACGGTGCTTTTGCGTCTTTACTGCTCTTTAGTGCGCTCTCATTTTTGTTTTTGCTCTCAATAATGGGCCCCTCAGTCAAGTACCAGCAATTTAATCCTATTTGAAAACATACGAAGGAGAGCTACTCGTTTTATCTTAAGGAATAGTAACCTATGTTATAAGGCTCATTTAATCAAGCTTAAGTTACTACCACTAAGTTACTGGTTAGAATATGTTGACTTGGTTTTCTTTTTTAAGTGCCTTCATGGGCTTATAGATTTCACTCATGAATTTAGTTATTTTTCTTTTCTAAAGGGCAACACGCAATGTGCTTCATCAGGGCTGCATTTAAAGTTAAATGCCTTTCGTACGTCTTCCTTTTGAGACTTCTACTTCAACAGAATATCTTTGATGTGGAAAAGTTTTCCTAAAAATATCAAGGATTCAGACACTATAAGCTCTTTTAAAAGTAAACTCAAGTCGTTTTATTTTACTAAACTTTTGAATGCTTTTGATAGAGACAATTTTTGTTCTTTTAAATTAATTTGTCCTAAGTGTCGTAGTGTAAATACTTCTTCTGTCTGTACTTGTTAAGTTAAGTTAAGTTGTTGATTTGTATACTTTAGAATGTTCTGTGTAATTTAGATTATTTGAATTGTAGTTTAGTCAGATCAGGGAAGGGATCTTTTTTTGGGTTATTTCTTTCCGGGATATTTTTTACAGGGCTGGGTGTGGGTGTATTAACCAAGTAGGGGACTTATGTTCTATTGTTATGTACCTGTACTTGTACTTGTACGAATCCATTAAATAAATAAAATAAATAAATAGACCTCTCAGTCTCTTGCTTCAAACGCTGAACACACTTTTTGTGATTGCAAGTTTTTATTTTGTTTTTGTTTTGTTTTTTGATGTGTTGCGTTTTGTTGGTTACTGAGTGAAATTAAAGATTTGCAGCAGTGACTTCTACCAGTTTTATTTTCTGGAAAAACCTAAGCATTTTTCATTTCTGCAAAATTGTTCATTTACTGTTTACAAAAGATAATTAAATTAAATCAATCAGCCAATGAATTTAGCTGTTTCCACGACTCGTGTTTCATGTGATCGTAAACAATCATCGTGTAGTCATTGTGTCTAAAAAGTAGCTCTTTTGAACCTTCCTTACACCTAGAGAAATCGAGATCATAGAAATTGACGTCCAGCAAGATGAAAGGACTACAAACAGGTGAACTAAATTTACTTTATGATATTCTTGCTTAGGGTTCATGGTTGAGCAGGTAGGCTTGAGTCTCTTCCCCCATAATAGTAAATTTTGTTGATTATTTATGGAAGTCTGTGGGGGTAGTCTGCAGGGTAGTCAGCAGAGTAGTCCGTGGGGTAGTCCACAGAGCGGGGGTCAATGGGTAGTCCACAGAGCGGGTGTCAGTCTTTTCAACTCTCCCGTAAGTGCCTTTTTACATGGAGGGAAGGTCACCTTTCTTGAGAGGCCTCCCCTCCAGGAGGGTCTACAAAGGGTACGTATGGGGGGGGGGGG